AACAAAAAACAAACACAAAACAAAAACAATTTGGCAGAAATGATGTAAATAAAATTACCAAACTGTTATGTTGAATGTTTAATGTATAGACTGTTTGGGTCTTTGCACTTCAAAATTTGAACTAAAAATCACTTCTGTACTCATGTCTTTAAAGGTGAAGGAGATCATAAAAGAGGTCGACAGCTCCCTCACACTGACTGCTAACATTTGGACCAGCCGTGCCACAGAGGCATACCTTGGACTGTCCTGCCATTTCATCACTAAGGATTGGCAAATGAAGACTTTAAACCTTGCCACCATGCCTCTAGAAGAGAGGCTTGATACTGCTGCAAACATCATGACATGGATAGAGGAGCTGATTTTGCCAGCTAAAATAAAAGCAGTAGTTCATGACAACAGATCCAATATGGTGGCAGCAATGCGAATGTTGGAAGAAAAACATGGTTGGGTCTCTGCCCGCTGCACTGGGCACACACTCCAGCTCATAGTGAACCGTGCCCTCAAAGAGCCCAGCATCAGCAGAGCTTTAGGTGCTGCAAGAAGTTTAGTAGAACACTTCAGGAGAAGCGAGTTGGCAAATACAAAACTGAAGCTGAAACAACAACAAATGAACACAGCCCAGCACAGCACAAGCTGATCCAGGATGTTACTACAAGATGGAACAGCACATACTACATGGTAGAAAGACTCCTGGAACAGCGTTGGCCAGTCACTGCAACTCTATCTGATCCTGAAGTAACTCCAAGGGCCAAACACCACTTTGACTTGAAGCCAGACCAATGGGTGCTGCTTGAAGAGCTGGTGAAAGGGCTACAGCCTTTTGAATGGGCCACTGTTTATCTCAGTGGACAGGAGTATGCAACTGCATCATGTCTTCCACAGCTAGTCAAAGGGCTGCAACGGTCCATACAGCAATCCCCTTTTGAGACCAGCCCAAGAAAAGCCATTCTGGTGAGTGTGGGACAAGGGATCGCTGAGCGATGGGGGAGCCTGAACATAATCTTAGCAGGGAGAGACAACCTACTTCTTATTGCTGCTGCCCTTGACCCAAGATTCCGTAAGCTTAAGTTTGTGGCAGCCGAAGATGGCACAAGGGTGAAAGAGACAGTTGAAGTCCTTGCTATCAAAAAAGCAAAGGAGACTGGGATACATGAGTGTAACTCGGTGGAACATCAGAAGGTCAGGGTCCCAGGGGAAAAATCATCATTGGATAGCCACCTTCAGTCTGACCCTGAGAGTCTGAATGAGGAGGAAGAGGAAACCCAGGAAGATCGAAAGGTCCAAATTGAGAGAAATGAAGTTCAGATGTACTTTGCAGAGCCAGCAATATCCAAAAAGGACAATCCTCTCATATGGTGGAGGGAAAATGAGGGGCGTTTTCCAAAACTCTCAAAGCTGGCAAGATGTCTTTTGTGCATTCCTGCAACATCCACCCCATCCGAGCGAATCTTCTCTGCTGCGGGGAATACCTGTTCTCAGAAGAGAGCAAGCCTCACAGGAGACCATGTTGAGATGCTGACTTTCCTGAGTTTGAATAAACTCTAATTGACATACAACCTCACATAGTTGGAACTTAAAATTGACACTGCAATACCATAGAATGCTGTGGCTGTTTGTTTGTGGCAAATGCACTTTTATTTTATTTTTGTTAAGGGAAAGTTTTCAAGCATTTTTATTCTTTTTTATTATCCACCAATAATGTGACCTATAACCTATAACATGAACAACTCAATTGAAACACAAACTTAAATCTTTTAGGGGGAAAAAATAAAAAAATAAAAAATAACATAATGTGGTTGCATAAGTGTGCACACTTATAACTGGAGATGTGGCTGTGTTCAGAATTCACATTTACAGAAATCACATTTAAACTAAAATAAATAGTTATCAGTACACACTTGCCATCATTAAAAGTGACTCTGATTAATCCCAAAGTTTAGTTGTTCTAGTAGGATTTTCCTGACATTTTCTTAGTTGCATCTTACAGCAAAAGCCATGGTCCGCAGAGAGCTTCCAAAGCATCAGAGAGATCTCGTTGAAAGCTATCAGTCAGGAGAAGGGTACAAAATAATATCCAAGGCATTAGATATACCATGGAACATATTGAAGACAGTCATCATGAAGTTGAGAAAATATGGCACAACAGTGACATTACCAAGAAAACTAGTCAGAGAGTCTTCCAAGAGGCCTACAGCAACATTAAAGGAGCTGCAGGAATTTCTGGAAAGTACTGGCTGTGTACTACATGTGACAACAATCTCCTGTATTCTTCATATGTTTGGGCTTTGGGTAGGGTGGCAAGCAGAAGCCTTTTCTTATGAAGAAAAACATCCAAGCCCGGCTAAATTTTGCAAAAACATACATGAAGTCTCCCAAAAGCATGTGGGAAAATGTGTTATGGTCTGATGAAACCAAGGTTGAACTTTATGGCCATTATTCCAAAAGGTATGTTTGGCACAAAAACAACACTGCACATCACCCAAAGAACACCATACCCACAGTGAAGCATGGTGGTGGCAGCATCATGATTTGGGGCTGTTTATCTTCAGCTAGAACCGGGGCCTTAGTCTAAACAGTTCCAAATACCAATCAAATTTGGCACAAAACCTTCAGACTTCAATCCAGAAGTCAAAAACCAGCACCAGCTTGCATTTAGCCCTGAAATAAAGTCTTGCAGTCT